ACTGTCGGACATTGTTTATTAAAAACTTATTAAACAATAGGTCTTAGGACATCATATGTATATGTATTTTGTCGCTTGCTTAGAGTGAATCTTGTTTTGTGAATGGATGAATACATTGCCCCCCCCCCCCCAATACACACACTTATAGAGGGCTCCACTTCTGACAGATATAATCTAACTCAGACCTATTTTTAATTTAAATTAAATTTTAGTTTCTGGTCAAAAATAGATTTGAGTTAATGTGTACATATATCATCTAGAAGTGGACTATCCCCCCTCCATATCTATATAATTAAATCGCGCCAAGTTTTATCTGTGTACCAATTTTTTAATTACAACCATTAAAGAGTTAGATCTATTCATTATGAAAATTGTACGGACTCGTGAACTCTACAATTCACGTCACTTTCAATGTTTCAAACAAGAACATATTACCCTATATCAAAGTATCACATTTAGAGTTATGACCATATGGTAAACATATCTGCTCATCAAAGCACAAAATTGTTATATTTCCAGTTGTGTCATTTATATAAGCAAGATATAGACTGTATACTTGTGACATTTAGAATTAAGATAATTTTGTTGATCAAGGTATGAAAAAGCATTGTTTGAATAAAATAGTATTAAAGTGAGAAATAATTCAGTTCTACGTACATTTGGAGAAATATAAAAATGTAAAAAAGAGGAGAGACTTTCAAAGATTAAGAATTTGATCATTCCCTCGAATGTATTTTTTTTTTTTTTGCCAATATTTTGTGCGATGGGAATCGTGGATTGACCATGCTACAAACGATGCTTGGTGGAAATCATATATTCACGTAACTGATACAACTGCACGTTAGAACGAAAATAAAATATATAACTAATAAATGATAATATATAATGTAAGAATATAATACTGGCGTGTGTAATATCGCATGGCAGTGCGCTCTTCCTGTTTGAATGTAGCGGAACTGCCTTCATTTTGCAAACACCACAGTTTACAAGTATACTCGACAGTTTTCCATGTTTTCTGAAAAATGCTGTTTTGGGTTGTATTATTTTTTAAATACATCTGCGATATATTACAGAAAATACAATCCTTATATGTTGAGAAAAACTTGTGACACCTTGTATAATAAATCACCGTCGAAAAAATGCCGAGATTTTTTGTTCTATTTGTTCCGACAACCGAATTTTGATGTTTTCAAATAACGGTGGTGAAGGGATAGAATTCATTTGTTACATGATCAAATATGAGCTTTGTATATAAAAAATTGGCGTGAAACAGTGTACATATGCCTGTGTACCAAGCTCTATGTTTGATGGGTACACGTTGACTAGTGCGTCAAAGAGAGCACGTTTTACTACTATTTCCGTTTTTGAAATCGATATTCAATTTGTGAGTACCATAGATATATACGTTCCCTGGTAGTTTTGTGCGAATAGAATACATGATGGAACACAATACATTTAATATAGGGTGTGTTATTAAAAATTAACTCCATAAGTGCTTGGTTTCTTACTACACTGCTGGACAAAATTATAAGATGCTCTGAAAATTATAGAGACAGGATTTAATATTATATTTATATTAATAAAAAATATGATATGTACAAAAATACAGAATCATTTTAAAAATTAAATAAACAATCCAAGTTCTCAATGTAAATGAAAAAATAGTTTCATTTTAACACAGTTATAAAACATTATCTTTGGAAATAAAAGAAATAGTATATAATTAAACGAAGTTATCACCTTTTTTTTAATTATTAGTTATAATATTTATTTTGTTTAGATATTTCAAATGTTTGTATAAAATATTTCACTTTTGAAATTAAAATATTTGAAGAATTAAGGAAATTAATTACCTGTTAATTTTCTTTTCTTACATTTCTATGTAAAATGTTCTAAAGAACTGATCTACGTAAAAAAAAGATATAAAGTACGTAATAAAAGATAGAAAAGTCCGAGGCGACTCCACTTGGAAAAACTTAATATCATATTATGGCTCTCTTTTTCCCATACAATTTTTATTCCACAATTTTTACTGCAGTTTCTGCAGTTTAGGAAAGGTGGTAAGTTTTACTAATTGCTATCCTCTATGTAGGTTAATGAGGATTGAATGGGTTATCTTATTATTTTATGTATATGGTATCGTTTACTTTGTAACTTTACATCTGGAAACGTAATGTTTATGAAATTTCTTCTTTATAAATAAATTAACCTTTTCACTGCTATTGGCACCTACAACAGTCTAACTAATTTTACTAATTATAATTATGATCTTTGCAAATACGAACTACGAATTTGAATTTCTTAAGTAAATTTAATTTTCTAATAAATTTTTAATATTTCCGTTTTATAAGGAATAGCACTTTCAAGTTTTCGACAGGAATCGTTCAATATATGTCACCTTTTTAAATTTTCTGAATGCAACTTCCATCATTCTTCTCAACAAAAAATTAAAAAATTGAATTGAATTGAAAACTATCAGCGTGATAAAAAAAAAAGATCTCGTGATAAAAGCGAAACCAACGCCGTTATCCAATCAGCACTTTTCATCCGCACTTTTGTAATGAAATTTATAATAGGCGCGGAAATGACTGGGATCCATGTCTGACAGTTAAGTCATCAATTTTTAGCCAACCACTCTGTATACGAATAATTGAATCGCTCGTCTTCTCTATGGCATCAAAGTGATTTCAGTGCATGAAAAACACGAGATTTCATACACCGTCATTTTTTCTGGCTGATCGAATTTCACGTTTGCCCGCAGCTCGTGGCTATGGACGAATAACGAAAACGTTATCAATTACGGGAGAATCGAGCGCGCTCTCACAGAAAATGTGATGCGATCGATGGGTCCACAAAAAAAAAGAGGAGAATATACGATGAATTGGTTAACGACCTCGATGCAGACGAAAAAAGAGCCTGGTTGATTTGGTATCGACGTGGGCGACTAAGGACGAACTTAGTACCGCGATAGAGATAATTCATTTTTGGGCGATTCGTAATGGCGACGACTTTTTTTATGTACTGCAATCGCTTGATTATGACGAACAAAATAATATGACATTCAGATTAGACTAGGCTTTTCTAGAAAAAATGACGATATAAGGGAAGTAGGAATTTTCAAAATCTCAATTTTGACAAAATTAGCCCTCGAACAGCGGACCATGGAGAGAACCAGAATTTAATTTGATTTTGTATTTCACATGTTTTTTTTTGTAATTATTCTTTTAACACATGAAACCTTTTCGTTTAAAAATTATACATTCAAGGTTAATATTCTTGTAAATATTTTGTAAATTGTGATTTGTAAAAATTGTAAAAAGTGATTTAGAAACAAAATAATATGATTTTTAATTATTAAATATTAATTAATTAATATTAAATATTTAATATTAATAATAATATTAAATACTGTATAATATTATATAATTAAGAAATATGAATAACATAAATATCAATTCATATATTCCCGCGTGAACGCTTATGCACAAATGGTGGGCAGCCACATACCTATATACCGCAGTTCACCAGAGTCCATAACTGCGAAAAGACCAGTTTTCGTTCTTCGCGCATCTCCAGTACGCATCTTCACCCTGATTGGCGATACTCCCAAACGAAGTGGAAAGCGATTAGCAGAGAGCTCGCTGCGTTCCCCCACCATCTTCCAACCTGCGCGTCGCAGTTATGGACTCTGGTGAACTGTGGTATACAGAGGTGCCCACTTAAGCGTCCACAGTCGGGACCAAATACGGATGATTTAACGAAATACGGTGACTTCTGCGAATTCAATTGAAGGAAGGAGAGGAGATGAGTGCATTCTATACATGCGAATGCGGCGGTCAATTCGAACGTCATTTGTCATTCAGAATCCACGATTGTAAGGCCGCGATTCCACATGCGTGAAAACTTCGACATGTGTGGAACTTCTGTTTCCAAGAACTGGTGGGTATAGCGACGGACTCTTATGTGGGCAAAAATGCGGACGCCTAACTGGGCACCTCTGTATATACATATATGTATAGGAGCCGTCTCCCATACACAGTCATTCTCTCCACCGTTACCTAAGGTGAAAGGCGAGAGTCCGAGAAGGGGAAACCTACAGGGAGAACCGGAAACCCGGAAAGCAATCGGGAAGGACTGTTAACCCGGGATTTCGCTGAAGTCGCGGACATGGCCATTTTTCTTGGAGAAGTCTGATTTGATCGCGAATGTATCTTACAAAACAGAAAACCGGATATAAAAAGATTGTTCCTAAACCAATATAGTGATACCAAAAGAAATCTTAAGATTACCTCGACTGCAAAAATATTATGTTAAAAGCGTCAATGTTAAACATCTGTCAGCTGTAACAGGTGCGTCAATCACTATTTTTACTGATGTTATAAAGAGCCCTTGATGGAAGCTCCCATCAAGGAAAACAAAATTTTTAAAAATAAGCTATGTAATTAATATTAAAAATTACCTAGTGTGTTGAGTTTAATCCTTAACAGCCAAGTCTGGCATACTCCAATTGTTCTATATATCCAATACATGCAAATACATAAGCGATAAATAAACTTTATAAGTTAAAAATACCATATAAAAGAAAATTAAACAGACATCTGATTATCATTTGTTTAAAAATTTCATTGTTCCTTAAAAACAAACTCACTAGTTAAGGGTTAAGGTTTATATATAATATAATGAAGTTTTAATTTGAAATCTATTATTATATTGTGTTGTGAATCATGGATAGAGGTTATAAAGATGTTACAAATTGGTGTGACAGATATTTGATCAAGAAGTTAATTAGTTTTATTATTGTCTTTAAATTGCTAAGAATAATAATTTTTAAACATCTGTCACAACTTATTAGAAGATAAAAAAGAAAAGAAATACAAAGTACTCTTATTTTTTAAATGAAGTGCAATTGAGAAAACACCAATTTTCCATTAAGAATGTGTGAACAACTATAGAAATCGTCGAAGATAACGTGCAGTCACCGTATGTAAAGAACGAAAACTTGCGGTACTGTATAGGTAAGATAGGGTGGTTAAATAGCAGCTTGTATCTGCATGCACGCATAACTGTGTCGTGTGAAGCACACTTACCAGTGAACAGTAGCTAGTGAGAGTGGAACTTTAAAGAGAATAGCAAGTGTAGTGGCAGTAAAATGAGGGAGTAAAGTGTGCAATGCAACCATTTAGTCAGCTTATAGCGAACATTTAAGGTATTTTAATCGGGAAGGTGCGAAAGAAGAAGCTGTTACACGTACATTTACCTAATTTATTACGTTACAACTAATTTGCTTAAAGGTAACAATAATCGATATTAATTTATTATCAACAGTTTATTCTAATACACCATGAAAGGAAGAGTATCACTAATTGTAAGCTAAGAAAATAAATTAAAATAATTTCTATTAGGTGTATAAATTAATTCGGTGCCTTTAGCATTACATTTTCGAAAAGTGCTGCGAAAATATGATAATCATGACGATTTTTTTGATAATTGCAGTTATGATTACTTCTTAAAAATAAGTCGTCAATTGAAAAGAAAAAGCGCACCAAACCAATTAATTTGTACGTACATACACCTAATATTTATAGCTACTGAGTATATATTAAAAAATTATACTTTCCTTTTTATTTTTAATTAATAATAGTATGAATGTTTGACTTGTTAAAGTATGAGAAGAAAATATTTAACTAGTAATATCTCAATAATTTTTGATAATTAAAAATTAAAAACTTTAAATACTTCTTGAATAAATTTACTCATAGTGACCTAAATATTAAATAATTGAATGTATATTAAACACAAATTTTACTTAATTATTTTATGAAATATTTACAATTTGAGTTTTTCTTAAACTTATCTGAATACTTATTAACATTTTGGTATGTAATTAAAAACAAACAAAGTTTTTATCATAAACATGTACAAATACGTGTTATAGAATTACAATGCAGAAAATTAACATTTTTGCCTTAAAAATGAACTTTTTATATTATTAATCGAAATTGTTTACTCAATTTACATTGAACCGTTTAGTATAAATCAATTTATAAACGTTATCGAAATACGATGAAGGTTATAGAATTTCGTTAAATTTAATGCTTGAAAATGTTCTGTATCAAGTTAATATTGAATCAATTATGACGCATATTGAAGTGTAACTTTAACAATTTGTAACAATTTGTAATTGTTATGTTCCTAACAATTATTCCATAATTTGCATTTTATTCAGAGTAATTAAACTTCCAATGTTTCCTGTTTAATTGAGAATCGTTGATGTTCCTAGTAACATACCCCTTGATATACATATTTGTAGCTGATTGCATCGAGAAATTGTGCAGTATGTTGTTTTTTGCATAACATGAAATTTGTTTAATGATAACAATGGGGATACATGATAACAAATATTCGTAAATTATCAAATAACGTATTAAATGTTAGTTGTTAAACTGTAAAAATTTTAGATAATACATTCTGTGAAACGTACGAAACTAATTGAAGAAAGAATTTGAACATAGGTACAGTACGATCTACTTTTGCAAAAAGGATACAATAAAAAGTGTCTCAGTCAGTAAAAAATAACTGCAATAGTTATATAGCTAAATATATCACTGTTACCGTATTTTTATTAAAAAGTTATAATTTAGGATTAATTACCTAACATATGATATTGTTTAAATTGAGTGAAGGATTTTAACATTATATTACTGAAAACGTTCTGTAATTGGCATAATTTAAATACATTTACTAATTATATCCAATATGATGCAAATTTATATTGCACAAACCACTGATGAAACAGAAATGTAACTGCTCTGCAGAATTCTCAAGTCCTTAACTTTGAAAGCTTTCTCTCCTTGAGTGGTTTGGAATCTGAAGTATTCTATTTTGAAACTTGCAGGTCTGCTCTTAAAGATGCTGCTTGAACAATAAATACATTTTTAGTTTTTACATTGCAAACCTAATTTAGATCTTATCCTTCGTATAATATCTTTTGCATTTTATATTGTCTTATAATGGAGTGGTAGAATATCAACATTTAACCCTTTGTCCCATAATATCGTGTCACACTCGTGACACAACTTATACTTCAAATGTGTGTTTGGCTGATAATTTGCTCAACTAAGAATTATTTGAATTTTCTTATTGATTTTAAAATTCAAGCAATAAATAGTTAGTTCTGACTGGCTTGCAGTGACATCGTTGACAAGATAAACCAGCAAGACCAAGATTCAATTTCCGATACCGATAATCCCTAGTTTTCACAGATTCCTACAATCATGACTGATTACATATCTAGTACTTCCAGTTAGTAGTTTGTATCGTACCAAGTAATCGCGTGTTCAGACACCATTCTGAAAAACGATGATAAAGTATGAAAAGTACCACGGTATGGAATTAACAGAATGAACAGATAACGGTTGTGCACCCGTCATCATGACACGAATGTTATAAACAAGACTAATGAGAATCTTAACATAACATTTTCTAATGTTATCTTTATAACATTTGACACAATATTTATTAATATTATTTCTAAGTGGATTTTTTACGCTCGATAATTCCCCTTATTTTGAGCTCCGGAGGCGGCCACTTCTAAAAAACAGAGGATTATCAAACGTCAATGGCATTTGACTTATTATAGTAAACGCTCTACAATTCCTCTTATTTCGGATTTTGGAGGCAGACACTTCTAAGAAATGGGGAATTATCAAGCGTCAATGGCACTTGACTTATTGCAATAAGCGCTCGATAATTCCCCACATTTCGGGCTCCGGAGTTCCTTTGTTTCTGTGTCGCACTTATACAGTCATTGGCTATCTAGGTGAGAGAGTCGAGTGCCTGCACGCGTGTAAATAATGCGTGGGAATTATAGGGCAGGGAATTAGCGAGCGCCTGCTGTAAATAGAAGCTCGTTGCCATTGGTATAAATAGTCAAGATGGGCCCGCTCGTAAAATTGTATTTTAATAGAAATAAATATTCGGGGCGAAATGCAGTGTGAAATACAATTAGATATGACATATATGATAACATCTACTTTAATCACTTCATCTACCGGAAATCAATTAATAGGCTTTTCGGTACCATCGGTTAACAAAAAGCCAATTAATAATCTTTTGATTATTTTAAACTGACCTACAGTAGATTCTTGTTATATTGCCACGAACGGGGTTGTGGAAATGGAAAATTTTTCAAATTTCTAAGCTCTCATTTGGCGGGGAGAGGGAAAATGGAATTACGTCATTTTCGTAGACTATGGTGGTGTAAGAGCAATACTGGTAAGCTTGAAAATTCATGTCTAGGTCCAATCGTTCACGTGGTAATACAGGGTCTACCATTTATGTCGGAACCTGTGCGCGCGCAAACTCATGAATGTGGCAACAGCGCTAAAATTCGATAGATGCGCCCTCTGCAAACCATTGCTGAAAGTATAATGTCATGTAGAGAGCTGTGGGGAGCGATGTAAAAATCCCTAGAGTTAAGTTGGTAATCGACCGAACTCTGGTCCGATATTCGATTCGGGATACAAGCATGCACGACGAGCAGTGGAACTTCGAATCGGCTCGGCTTGGCTCGGTAAAACTCGGGCGCGATCGGCAGAGAGACAAACATACTCGTATCCCGAATCGAATCTCGGACCAGAGTACCAAACGTTGCGCTGTTGCCACATTCATGAGTTCACGCGCGCACGGGTTCTGAGATAAATGGTAGACCCTGTATAACCAGAGTCTATTGTATAATTCAGTTGATATAAAAATTAGTTGTGGGTATATTAATGAAGGAGAAATTGAAAATAAGGGTTACACCTTTTAATCTTTAGTTAATGTTAAGTTATAAGGTAATAGTGCTTATCTAAAATTTTATTCGTGGTCAATAGATAATGTGCTATTACCTAAAATTCTAAATAGAAACTATCATAATTAAGTAATATTAAACATTCGACACTTTCACTGAAAGCAAGGGGCTTGATCTACCCTATCCTTCTCTACTCTAAAGAGATCCTAGTTATTCCAATACTCGTTGGACAATTTATAATGATGGTGATGTTAAGCCCACAGTAGTAGCTATTAAAGGTCTGACTTTTATGGACACCATAAAGTACGAAAACTGTTTATTGATCGTGTTAAAGTGACACGTGCTAGGTAATTTCGACGATATTAGTTGGCACACGACGGTAATGAACTTCGGATTCATTGCTGTCTATTCTACTTCAGATTAATGCTAAAACAACAATACATAAAATCTTCTATTACCTTGTATCATAACAAATTTTGATACGATTTTGAAATATAAAATCCCGAATGATTTGATGACACAAAACAGCACTTACGTTATTTGGATTTACATGCAGAAAATTTCATGGAAATCATAAGAAATATTAATTAAAAAATGCTTAGAAAACAGACATTCTGGGATGTGGTGATTTTGATGCAAAACTAAAATGTTATCATACAAGAGTTTGAAAATTGAATTGCATAAAAAATTTAATATTAATGTGAGCTTTACAAATAAACTTTCTACATTTTGCATGCTTTATTTCCACATTTCGATCAAAATTACTGTAAGTACTGTCGTTAACCCTCGGATGGACCATGGAAAGAGCTACAATCTTAATGTAATTTTGTATTCCATATTACTTACATTTTCTAAAAATTATACATTTGACTTTAGGTTAATATCCTTACACATATTTTGCAAGTTTGGGTCACGATTGACGCAGGCTGCGCTATTCAAGAGTTAAGAATTTATTTTTAACTTATAAATTTTTTATACAGCTGTTTAAAATAAACTTGTGCTTGCCTAAAATCTACGAAAAGTGCAGAAAATTCTGGAAATTATAGGAAAACTAATTTACAATTTTTAATCTGATTACTGTATAATTTCTCATTTTGAACTAATAAAATTTTTTAAAGTTTAAAAAAGATTAAAGGGACTCTTGAGAAATAGATACTTACATGACTTTAAAATACTGAAATTTAAATTGCGAAATAGTCATAAATAATAGGATTTAAAGAACGACAAATTATGGAATAAAAGAGTTATAATGCTGAAAATGAGAATTCCAAGCTTTCCACGTCTAAACTAGATTCTGATCAGAAAATGTGAAACTGAATGTAATAAATGTTGCTATAGCTGACTTATACAAGTCCAGCAGAAATTCATTAAAGCATTCATTTCAAACTTTTTCAATTTCTTTGTCATGGATGCATGAACCGGGAAGAGCTCATTATTATAAACGTTGCCTTTGCATTTAAAACCATCAGCTGAATGTACTTACGAGTTTATGACAATCTT